GAGCACTTGTCATCAACAGACTTACCCTGAAAAAAATGTCTACAGGACACTCTTGAAACAGAAAAGAACTGATGAGAGAAAGAATATTGGAACATCAAGAAGGAAGAAAGAACAAAGTAAACAAGTAAAAACGTGGGTAAATGTAACAGACTTTCTTGTCCTCTGGAGTTTTCTGAAAACAAATGTGGTGGTCCTCAAGATGTCCAAGATGGCTCACTCTTGCCTAGTAGGCAAACTTCACTAACCATGGGGTTGACTTGAGAGGCTGTTGTTTACCAGAAGCTTCTCAGAATGCACTACATACAGTAAGGTTTGAAAAGTCCTCATGACAATGGAACACTACGTGGCAATGAGAAAGAATGAAATCTGGCCTTTTGTAGCACCGTGGATGGAACTGGAGAATGTTATGCTAAGTGAAATAAGTCCTACAGAGAAAGATAGATACCGTATGTTTTCAGTCTTATGTGGATCCTGAGAAACTTAACAGAAGACCAAGGGGGAGGGGAAGGAAAAAAAAAAAAAGGTTAGAGAGGGAGGGAGGCAAAACATAAGAGACTCTTAAAAACTGAGAACTGAGGGTTGATGGGGGGTGGGAGGGAGGGGAAAGTGGGTGATGGGTATTGAGGAGGGCACCTGTTGGCATGAGCACTGGGTGTTGAATTTGACAATAAATTTCATATTTAAAAAAAAAGAAAAAAAAAGGAAAAGTCCTCATCAGTTGTTAATAAAGGGTCGAGCTCGGTCTCTCAGAGTAAATTTCTCAGAAAGGCCTGAGAACAAAGTGTTTTTTACAAATTCCTAGCTGTGGGCACCTGATCTTCCAGGACTGCGACAAAATTCAAGGTAAAAAAAGTAATCAATATCCCACCTGGGGTCAAGGTCACACACCTCTGCCTTGTCACAGGGTGATGTCCTGGGAGTGTGGGCCCACGTCGGTCATTCACCTGTGCCTCGGTTTCTTCCTCTGTAAAACGGACATCTGCCTTTCCTAACTCACAGGCTGGAGATAAAGAGCAAAATAGGTGAGCTGGGCTAGTAAAGGATTAGCTATTTTTCCCCAATGTGAATGTTTAACCTCCCCTCAAAGAGGGCCATTGTGTGGCCCTTTTTTCTCTGAAATGGAATGTCTCTGTGTTCTTCAGCCTCGGAGAAAGGCAGGCATGGTTACGTAAAACGTAGGACTTAATTCACCCTCCTTCCAGGGTCCGGAGAACAGCCAACTCCAGCCCTGAAACGGCTGAGGCCCCTGGCGCCTGGGTCAGTGGTGCTGGGAAGATGGGTGGACCCCCAAGAGCTGATGAGGAGGGCCCAGGGGTTGCTCCTCCGGAGTCTGCAGGTCCCCGCCCGCCCTCTGGTCCCCAGCACTCACCTCCCAGAGGATGTAGCCCTAAGTCCTGTGGCCTCCCCGCAGCCAGTGGTAGTGTTGGGGGGCTTGCAAACCCTTTGCTAGAGGTCAGTCCAACCAAAAAGGAGGAGGTCTGTAAATGGACCTGCGGGGTGGGGTGTCGGAAGCAGAATCTGGGAGTGAAAGCCACAAGGACTTGGGTAGGTAGGGAAGAGAAGGGCGAGCTATTTTATA